CCAGGGGGAGACCCGCACCCACTCACGCGGGCAAGGACTTCAGCAGGTTCTCCCGGAGCTCCAAGGTCACCAGATTGGCGAGGCTGAAAGAGAGACCCGGGTGGGGCGTGACGGAAGCAAGGACAGTGGGGAGAGTGGCGGGGTGGGGCTGAGCCTGTCCCCCCCCCCCCGCCCCCCCCCCCGAGGGCACCCACTTGCCCACGTCCCCAGGCAGCGCTTGTAGGGACACGTCATTCAGTGCCAGGTGAGCCAAGCTGCGGAGTTGAGTGAAGCCTTCAGGGAGCCTGCGCCAGGGGAAGGGGGATCCCAGATGTCAAGGACAGGGCTGTGGGGGCCCCCAGGCCCACCACTGCCCCCTGCCACGGCCACCACCCACCTGGACAAGGGGTTCCCGCTGAAGTCCGCGATCTCCAGAGCCTTACAGAACTTGATGCTCTCGGGAATCTCGGGGATGTCTGCGAGAGGGGGGGGGGTCACCGAGAGAAAAGGGTCACCATGGAGATGCACCCAGAGTACCCACGCGCTCAAAGCCCTTCCTGCCAGCCCCACCCTGCGCCGGGTCCCTCACCGTTCCGGGACACGTCGAGCTCCACGAGCTGCATGAAGTTGGCCACCTCGGGAGGCAGTCGCTGGATCTCGTTGTCACTCAGGCCCAGCTTGCGCAGGTTCAGCAGTCGGAAGAAGGGCTGTGGGCAGGGAGCAGGGTCAGGGGAGGGCGGACTGGGCGGCCGCGCCCCCTCCAGAGCAGACACCAGTCACAAGCCACGGACCCCGTGGGTCTCTGCCTGCTCCAGGCCACACAGGAACCCTGGGTCCTGCCTCATCTCCCCTGTCTGCAGCAAGAAAAGAAGAGAAGAACGTGTATGCACGCCTTGCCGCACTTCCACCTTCCTAACTTCTGGCACCCGGTCTCTCGAAGTCACTTCAGATGCCTCCCCTGCTGCCGTCTCGCCATATGGCCGACCTCGTGAGCCCAGATCTCAGCTGGGAAGTTCACCTGCTCCCGACCAGACGGCTCTTCCTTCCCTGCGTGCTCCCTCAAGACTGCCCTCGCCCCCCGAAGCTCCTCTCCTACCCACCCAGGAAGGGAGCCCGCCAAGACCCACAGTGCCTTCTGCCACAGCACCCGACCACCCTGGCCCGCCTCTGTGGCAAGAACTTGACAACCACCAAGAAGAAAGAGGCAGTAAGTGACAGGCACACAGGTAGTCAGTCAATCCCGGAGGCTCCTGCACACCGCAAGGGACAGAGGCCTCCCAACCAAGGCAAGGGATAGAGCCCTCCCAACCAAGCCCCGGTGGGCCACACCCTTTGTGGCACACAGCCCCCAGGCACGGGGCCACCAAGCACCCTGTCTCCAGAAAGGAAATCCTTTTATGACCTGCTTCCTTTAGTCTCCCCCGCGGAGCAGCCTTAGAAGGAAAGCAAGCGGACCAGGACGCGCAGCAGCAGCCGACAGAGGCGGAGAGCCTGCGGACCCGCCTCGGGGAGAGCTCGCCGCCCCAGCGCGGCCGGGGCGAGAACAGGCCGAGCAGCAGGCGGGGCTGCCCGCCCCCCGCGCGGCGCGGCAGGTTGGTCCCCACCTGCCCGGCTCAGGTTCCCGGTTTCCGGCCCCCGTGGCCCCCCGACCCCGCCGCGCCCTGCCGCCCGCTGCCACCTGGTGCCAGCGCCCGAGGCAGGCGAGGCCGGCGCCCAGGTGCGGGCGGCCGCTCACCTTGGGCAGCTCGCGCAGCTGGTTGGCGTCGAGCAGCAGCTCCTCCAGGCTGCGGCTGTAGCGGTAGATCTCCTCGGGCACGGCCTGCAGCGAGCAGTGCCGCTTGTCCACCGACTCCACGTGCCGGTTGCAGCGCCACAGCGGGATGCACTTGAGCATGGTGCGGGCGGGCGGGCGGGCGCGCGGCGCGGGCTCAGACGCGGGCTCGGGCGGCGGGCTGGGCCGGGGGGCGGGGCTCGGTCCGCATGAGCGCCGGAGTCGGCCGGGCGGGGGAGGGGCGGGGGGGCGGCGGCGGCGGCGGCGGCGGCGCTGGGCCCGGGCCGCGCTAGGAACGCTCGGCCCGAGGCGGTCCGAGCTGGGGTGAAGGCGAGGGGCGGAGGTCGGCCGAGGCGGGGGCCGGGGGCCCGGGTGGGCGCGGCCCGGCCGGCGCTCAGAGTCTGGGGAGACGGCGACGGCGGCCGCGCATCCCGCCCAGCCCGCTCGTCCGCCACTGTGCCGCAGCCGGAACAGCCGCCGCTGCCCGCCGGACTGCCCCGCCGACAACCGCCGGCCGCCGCGCAGCCCGCTGGGAAGCCGAGGCCCGCCCTCGCCGCTGGGAACTGCAAACCCCACAAGTCCCCGCGCTTCTGGCGCCTCCGAGAACCCGTAGCTGCCCCACGCACAGCCTGCCGGGAAGCCCCGCTCCCGTCCGCAAAGCACGCCGGGACATGAAGTCGGCCTAAGGCCCGCGCTCCCGCAGGCGTCCTGGAGGCTTCCTGGCCATCAACCCCCACCCCCCGCCTCGGTCCCCTCCCCAGGATGGTACCCACGAACCCCACCGCGGTTGGCCAGCCGTCCTCCCACCCCGCCCGGCTCCTCCCGCGGGCCTTCTCCTAGCACCCATCGGGTACAGGTGACACGGTGGGGGGGGAGGGCGGGGGTGCAAGCCCCGCTCGGGGACCGCAGGGGAGCCCCAGTGTACTCCGCAGCCGGCCCGCCTCCCCCTCCTCCGGAGAAGGGGGGCGCTCGCAGGCCCTCAAGGACCCCTGTCTGTTCCTTCCCCCAGGCTTGCCCCCGGGAGCCCAGAAGCACAGGACCACTGTCACACAGGGAGGTTGAGGGCCAAGGCATCTGCACCTTTATCCCCACGTGGGCGGCTGGGCCTGAGACACCAACACATCACTCTAGAGAACCCCGAGGAAACAAGGAGCAAGTGCAAGTCCGGGCAACAGGGCCAAGGTCACGCAGAAAGGTCACTGTTATCAAAACGCTCCTGGTCATACACTTCAGCCACCACCTTGCGACCAGCAAACCAGCGCCCATTGAGGGCCTGGATGGCCTTGTGAGTCTCAGAGGCTACGGAGAACTCCACAAAAATCTTGACGATGATCTCCGCATCCTCCTCCTCGCCTTGCTTCTCCTGGTAGATGATGACGCGGTTGACAGCACCAAACTTGCCACACTCCTCGGTCACCTCCCCCTCCAGGTCATCATCGATGTCCTTGGGGTCCACCATGTTGCGCAGAACCATCACTGTGGACTGTGGGGGAGGGGACAGCTGAGCGCTGCAGCAGGCTGAGCCACCCCCGCCCCAGCTGCCCCCCCCCCTGCACAGGCCCCCACCGCCCACCTCCTGCTTGCGCAGCAGCTTCTGCATCACCATGTGGCGGGCGCTGCTGCCGGAGATGCTCATGTGCTCCTGCTCGCTCAGCATCTCCGGCCGCTCCGATTCGGGGAACAGCTCTTCCTCTTCCTTCTCCTTCTTGGGCTCCAGGAGACCCAGCGTTGGAGGGCTGGCCAGGATGGGGTTGACCACTCCCACAGAGGGGATGGTGACCGGAATGGGAGGCCGGGCTGGGGTCACACCTGCAGCAAACCCACCAGATCCAGCAGTCACGCTCCCCCCTCTCTGCCCCTCCCGGGAAAGGGCCCCTACCCCACTCAGCCACGGCTGAGCAAGGTCCTACCCACCCAGGGTTATGCCCAGAGAACTAACAGGGGAAGGAGGGAAGGCATGACCCATCCAGGCTCACCTGTGATGACTCCTGGGGCCTGGGCAGCCATGACTGCCTGGGGCAAAGCCCCCAGAGGCTGGGCCAGAGTCAGTGCGGGGGAGACCAGTCCAGGCGTGGCCAGGGTACCCAGCACCGCTGCTCCAGCCACTGCTTCCTGCAGCCCCGAAGATCACCACACTCAGTCCCCAGTCTGGCCGCCCCCGCTCAAGACCACACCAAGAGCCAGCCCCCAAAGGAGGACGCGGGAGGGAGGGAGGGGCTGTCACCCACAAGTGAACTATGTGGCTGGGCCATCCCTCACCTGAGCTGTGATCTTGGCTGTGGCGGCAGCTGCAGCCACAGCCGCAGCGGGCGGGAGGCCTCCAGGGCTGGCAGGTGTGAGCAGGGGCATGGGGGGGGGTGACAGCCTTGCCCACTCGCAAGTACTGGCCACCCAGATCAAAGAGGTTCATGGAAGACACGGCATCCTGGGACGACTGGGCCTTCTCATACTCTGCAGGGCAGGAGCAGCGGTGAGGGGGAGCTACGGTGCCGGGTGGGCCTCACCCGTGGGCCCCACCCTTGCCACGCTCTCTCCAGACTCACCAATGAAACCATAACCCTTGTGCTTGCCAGTCGTAGGGTCCCGGGCGAGCGTGCAAGATTTGATCTTGCCAAAGGCCTCAAAGACGCTCTTGATGTCATCATCTGAAAGGTCCTGGTGCACAGACGCCACATAGATGCGGTTGAAAGCTCGAGCCTCCTCAGCCAGCTGGTCTATGATGGGCTGGGCCTGGCCTATGTTGCTGGGTCTGCCCACCTGGGAGAGAGGCAGGGCACAGAGTCCCCAGTCAGCAAGGCCTGGCCACGTCAGACTTCAGGCTTCTAGAGAGGCTGCTCGGCGTTGCCTGGCTGACTGAGAACAGAGAACACACGTGCCAGCCCCGAGGCCCAGCTCCCTGGCCCTCACCTTGATGTTCCTGCCTCCTAGCATCACCGAGTTCATCTGCTCCAAGGCGAGCTGAGCAGCTTCTGGGACCTCGTACTCCACAAAGGCAAAGCCCTGGGAACAGGAACGTGCCGTGAGGCCAAGAGAGCCCAAGGTGGGGAGGGTGGGGCCTGGGGAGGGGCAGACTAAAGCCCACCTTGTGCTTCATGGTGACGGAGTCCCAGGACATGTCAATGCTCTTGATGGGTCCAAAGGGAGCAAAAGCCTGGCGGATGGTGTCCTCCCCAAGCTCATAGTAGATGGACCCCACGTAGACCCGGCACATGATGGCCAGTGCCCGCTGCCGCTGAGCTGCCATCTGGAGCAGGACACAAGGGGAGAGAGAGAGCCCCTGGCTTGTGAGGGGGTGGCAAGAGGCTGGGCAGCCCACTCCCCTCCTGGCCCACCTACCCAGCTCCGCCGGGGGGAGGGCTCCCCACGCGGCAGCACGGTGCAGGCCCAGCTCCTGCGGTCAGGGTAGCAGGGGTCAACAGCACCCTACCCCCAGGAAGGAAGGTCAGGCCCAAAGGCAGGACACGGACACACCCCGGCCCATCCAGGTCCTGGGCAGACTGGCAGCAAAGCTGACAGGGGCCAGGAGGCAGGGCTGCACGCCCTCCCACCATGCCCACCTTCCAGTCTGGGGGCCAGGTACCCCAAGCTGGGCTGGAAGATCCTCCCAGGGTCCTGGGCGAGTGCTCCGACAGAAGAGGGAAGGGGAAGCCATCCAGGCTGGAGGGACCCGCTAGCGTGGAGGCAAGAGAAGGGGCACAAGACAGGGCAGCTACTGCCCAGAAGAGAGCCCAGGGGAGGAGGTCAGGAGCCCAGATGGGGGCTCCCCGGAGAGAGAACAAAGAGCAGCTGCTCAGGCAGGGCCAGCTCAGGCGGGGGCTGGGCATTCTGCAAGCCCCTCAGTGTGCTCAGCACCTGACCAAAAAGGGCTGGCTGGAGCTCATGCCGGCAGCCCCGAGGCCAGGCCCCCAGGAACATCAGAAGGTGGCAGAGCCGCCAAAAAGAGAAGCCCTGGGGCTCCCTGGAGTAGGGAGATAACAGGCCCAGCAGGCCCAGAGCTCTGCTTGGACAGACACTGCCTCTGCGCTAGGGCCAGCCGGGGCCAAGGGACCTTTCCACGCCCTCAGGGATGGGCTTCCCACCCAGGCCCCCTCTGCACGGTGTGCGAGGCGGGGGGGGGGGGGTGTCCCACAGCCACACGCGGTGGGCCACCAGGAGGAGCTGAGCCCTGGGGAAGACCACAGACCCAGGAGAGGCAAAGAAGATGGGGCCCTGGCTCTAACTTCTCCATAAACAGGGGCTCCCCTCACCCTCACAAGGCCCCCATAACCGGGGGCCAGTTTCCCTCTTTAGACACCACCTGGCCTAGTATATAGACCAGGCCTCCCCTTCCCTCCGGGAGGAGCCTAAAAGTAAAGTCCGCATATCCCCCAAACTAGGAATCCCCCCCCCAATGGGACTGCCCTCCTCAAACTGGGCTCCCAACAGTATACCTCAGGCCCCTGCTGAGACCGAGGACCCCAAAAGTGGAACTATGTCCCCTCTTGCACCAGGCAGCCCGAAAGGAAGCCACATGCCTCTCGGGTCACAACTCCCCAAAAGGGAGCCTATCTCCTCTTCAGTGTGGGCTTCCCAACAGGTGGGCCAGGAGCCCTCTCCCTGACACCCCCCGCCCCCGACAGACGCTTCCCAGAGAAGACACTGGGTCTGTCTGGCCACACCTCCTGTGAGAGCAGCACACGCAGGGATGAGCCCCGGAAGAGCCATGCTTCCCCTCAGACTTCCTGGAGCAGGGCCTGGCCTCCTCCTCAGCTGGCCTCTGGGAGATGGAGGAGCATCTCCTCCCCAGACTCCTCCGCCCAAGGCAGCCAAGGCCTCAGGCGCCGCCTCTGCCTCCTCCCGGGCCCACTCTGGGCTCTGCACGGCCCTACGCGCTGCGGACAGCCGGGCCCAGCGGACCAAGTCCTCGCCCTCCCTCTCCTGCTTGCCTGGTACCCCGGGCCCCACCCCATCCAACCTCCCTCCAGGGTCTGACGGGGCCGGGGGCCAGGACTCTTCTGCCCTCGGGGGCCTGACCCCTTCTCAACACAGGAGCCCAGGCCGGCCCGGAGACCAGCAAAGCCGGCGGCCCAGGCATGGCACCTTGTGCGTGCGGGCGACATGGATGCCGCTGGGCCTGGCGTGGGCAGCTGCCGTCCTGGCCTGCTGCCCTCCGCAGTTACCTGGCCGGTTAGTTTTAAGGCGGGACCTCAGAGCAGATGGAGGCCTCCCCAGGGGCGGTCCCGGCTGGGTGCCCGCCCACACCACTGGCCCCGCCACGCCTGGCGCTGTGCTGCGCTCGTCCCGAGCTGGCGGGCAGGGCCGGCTGGGGGAGCAAGGTCCCCAGCGCGGGCTGCACTGCCCCCCTCTAGCCTGACTAAGGACATGAGCCCGGAAGAAGTGAGCATTTCTATTGACCGATTGCAAAGGTGAGAGAGGATCTCCAAAGCCCATTGTCACTGCTGCCATCTGAAAGACAGTAAACACAGAGTTCAGTCTGTTGCGGCCGAGCAGCCTCCCGCTCTCGCACCTCACGCAGGCGGCGGCAGGGCCCGGAGTCCCGCCCTGCCAGGGACGTCCGCCTGCCTTCCCAAACTGCCAGCCGCCTGGCCAGCCACCGGCACCTGCCCGGGGCGGGCCTCAGAGCCCCAGGTGCCCCGCCCCACAGCCTGGCCGGCAGGGCAGAAGGAGGGGAGGGGGCGGAGGGAGGGAAGGGAGGAGGCGGCGGAGGAGGAGGTGGTGGAGGAGGAGGAGGAAGAGGAGGGTGCAGGTGGAGCACAGTGAAGAGCCAGGGTGTCTCCTGAGGGCCGGGCAGGGGGCAGGGGGCTCAAGGCCCAGGCACCTGTCAGCCTCGCCCTGGCCTCTTCCCCACAGCCGTGGCTGCTTGTGGCCACAGGGCTAGAGCAGGAGGCTGCTGGAGGCGCCCCCAGCCCTGTCCTCTCTGTCCTGGACCCCTACTCAGGTGGTCTGGACTCACTGCAGGGGTCGGGGCCTGACCGCTCTCATCCGAGGCCAAGGGGATGGGAAGGAACGCCCCTACATGCCGCACCGCCACCGGCGCACAGGCAACCTGAGGCAACAATTTCAAGTCCAAGAGGAGGAGCCAACTCAGGGGGCGGGGCACAGCTACAGCGCCAGGGCAGGGAGGGGCCCATGGGCATTCAGCGGATGGGTAAGGCTGGGCCACTCGTGCCCCACGGAGGAGCCTGGGCGCCCCAAGAACGAGTCCTTGAGAAACAGAACCACAACAGCTTGTGGGGACGGCCACAGGCACAGGAGGAAGAGAAGGAAGAGGAGGCGGAGGTGGCGGGGAGGGGCGGCGGAGGTTCCCCGGCCCAGGCGGGTGGGGCGGCCTCCAGCAGAGCCAGCAGCAAGCCGGAGCGCGGGGGCCCAGGGGCTCACCTGCAGGTTGGTGAGCTGCTGCTGCTGGTGCGCGATGGTCTGCTTCACCAGCACGCTCTTGATGCTCTGCTCCATGGCGTACTTCTTGGCCTGCGGAAGGAGGTGGTGAGGGGCAGTGGGGGGCCCGGCCTACAGGGGGGTGCGCCCTCCTCCGCCCTCCGCCCCCCAAGCCCTGCCCCCGACTCCCCAGGAGGCGCACTCTCACCTTCTGGAGGGCCTCTTGCTGCTCGGGCGTCAGAGGAGGCAGTCCCAGCTTCGCGGCTGTGCTCTGCCCATTCTCCATCTTGATGGAGTCCGTCCCCTGCAGGTGGGCAGCAGGGAAGTCATTAAAAACGAGCTTGAGAGCTCCCCCACACGGCCCCAGGGACCCCCCCCCCACCCCACAGAGCTGCACAAGGCCTCCAGGCCCAGCCCATTCCCCAGGGACAGGCAGCTCTGCCCTTTTACTATCTCCCTGTGCCTGTCCCTATGCCTGTCTCTCCCAAGACCCATGCCACTGAGGCAGGCAGGTACCTTGGGGGCCTTGGGACAAGCCAGAGCATTGGCAGGGCCCTGGCCACAAGGCCTCCTCAGGAGTTAGGAAGACAGGCAGGAAGCAGGAGGGCCCAGTGCTCGTCGCAAAACCGAGCCCAGAGCTTCAGCCCTGAGCCGGGAGAGAGCTGGACCCAGCCACCCTTTACAAGGCAAGGGGGCCATGGTCCCCTGGATGTGCAGGGACTCCTCATTCCTGGACCACGTGGCATCCACCCCCGCCCCCCACACCCTCCCTCAGCCCCAGCCAGGCTTGCAGACTCGACGTCCCTGCTTGGGCAGAGTTCTAGGGGCCACTCAAGGAGCAAGTAAGGGAAAGGGTCTCCCTCCCAGCACACCTCCATGCAGCGCCCCACCCCCCCCACCCCCACTGTTGAGAACCTGGAGCTGCTCTCCCTGGCCACAACAGCCCATCTCCACCAAACTCCTCCCTGGGCTGTGCTTAGCCCCTGGGAAGAGAGGCCAGGAGCAGACCAGCCACAGAGGAAAGTGGGGCCGTCCGCACCCTAGCCCGGCGAGCATGGGCACCCGGAGATATTCTGGGGGAGGGGGGAAGGCAGGCACAGCCCGCCACAGATAGATTCAATGCAACCAGGATTAAGTTTACATTCCTTCTGCCAAAATCCACGTCTAAGCTGTCCGCAGGGGAGAGAACAGAGCCGTGCAAGGAAAAAGCGAAGCACAGCTACTGAGCCAAAGAGTGTGCACCAGGGTCGGGTCACAGCAGCCTGCCCACCAGCTCACAGGGCCTGGCACCGCCCAGCAACTGCAAGGACAGACCACCGCCAGCCCCCGCCAGAGGAGGTGCTCTGCGGCAAACAGCACACAGCCTAAGGAGGGACAGCGGAGAAGGCAGATCCCCAGTGCAGACGTGAGGAACAAGGACAGAGTTTCGAAGGAGGCAGGAAGGGGCCAGCTGACCCAAACCCCAAGGACCACCATCCTGACCAGCCCAAGTATTGGGTTTCCAGCACAGGGTCAAAGGGCAGGAGGGGCCTGGAGGCCCCCAGTCTGGCCCCTAAAGCCTGTCCTCTCCGCCCTCCCAGCTGGCCCCAAGCCCGGTTCTTCTTAGTGGGACAGAGGCCCTGAGAGCCAGGGGCTGTGACTCTAGAGCAGGCTGTCACCATGGTAATCAATGCCAACCCCCTTCCAGCCCCTTAGAAACTTTTCAATCTCTTCTTTGTCTGGATAAACAAAAGGCCCTTCTCCCATCAACCAGGGCAGGGGAGGGCTGGCTAGAGGGACGTCCTGGCCCTTTTGCCCATCTGCTTCAGCCCCCGTAATTTCTCAGGATCCAGGCTGCATACCACGGCCAGCCCTCCCCTGAGTGTGCCGGGGGGCCCACAAGAGGGCCCAGCTCCAACAGGCCCCCAGGCCACCTTGTTGAGCCCCCACTACAGCCCACGGTAGGCAGGCGCTGCCATGGAGAAGCACAAAGAACCTTACTACCCAGCAACAAGGCCTGGCTCCACCTCCTATAGGACATGCTCCCAAGGGCAGAACCACCCCAGCGGGACCAGGCCTGCCCACACCCACTCTGAAGCCCGGCCCAAGCCCCACACAGACCCCGGGCTCTCACTTGCACGTTACTCTGCTTTGTTGTTTTATCTAAATTTCAGATTTGAAATGAAAATCTGTGTTTCTGGTTCTTACTACCCATCACGTTCTGCAACAGCGCGGCTGCCCTCTGGAATGGCGTGACGGCTAACAACTGACACCAGCTCTGGCTCAGCCCCCACCTGACCATCGTCACCACCTGCCCGAAGTCTGAAGGCGCACGACGCCGCGAGCCACCGCAGAAGCAGGGTGGACGCTATGGGGAGAGGCTGGAGCCAGGCATGGGGCTGGGCGGTGAGGGAGGAGACAGGCACCTCTACCCAGGAGGCAGAGAAGAATCCCTAGGGCTCCTCCCACCCCACCCCCATCTCTCTGGGCCCAGGGACACGCAGGCAGGCGGGCGGGCGGGCGGGCAGGCGGGCCTGAGGGCAAGGACGCTGAGGTCAGTACCTGTGGAGGTTTCCATTTGTCTCCCGCTGCCGCCACTGCCGCCGCCGCCGGCTCGGACCCCCCTCCTTGCTGGCCATTGACCTGCTGCAGGCAGGAAGGAGATGCTGTAATGGACAATCGTAAGACCACCCGCCCCGGCCCTCTCCCTTTCCCCGGCTAAGGGCTAAGTGCCCATGGATGAGAAAGAGAATCCAGCTGGGGCACAGGGAGAGCCCAGCTCTGGCCTGGCTCCTGGACACCCCACGGTAGCCCACTCACCCCACTCATTCTGCCAGGACACCTGCAGCTGCCCAGGGCCTGGCACAAAGGTAGCCTGGCCTGGCAGAATCTAGGGTAGCCCGGAGTTGGCAGGGAGTCATCAGGAAAGGACAGGACAGAGAATAAGAGAGCTCCTGCCCATGTCAAGGAAAGGCATCCTCCCTGCACCTGAAGCTGCCCCCTGGCCACAGAGCTGAGGTCCTAAAAGATCAGTTCCTTCCTGGCCAGCAGGCTGGGACAGGCCAGACGGGATGACGAGGGGCACAGCTGGCCATCTTCCTCACCCCTCCTGAGGCAGACAGGGGCACCTCTCTAGCAGCAGCACGCCCCCTCCCCCACTGAGCATCAGTCCCAACGCCTTCCACAGACTCTGGTCAAGCCCACACCCCAAGCCCCTCGTGAAGGCCCTTCTGAGGAGGGCTGCGCTCTGCATCACAGGGCCAGGCAGGTGGTCTGTGTGCACAAGCCTCCCTCCCGCAGCGGACAAACTGTCCAGGGCTGGCAGCTGAGAGCCTGGCCATACCCCACACCCAGAGGGGCCGTGGAGGCACTGCCACGCAGCACCAGCCTAACGGAAGGAAGAGCTCCCAGCTCAACTCGGCAGAACGGCAGGAGCAAAGACAGGCCAAGGGCAGGAGGTGGGCCACGTCACGGGGAAGGGAGACTTGGTGAAAGGGCCTTGAGACCTACTCCACCTTCTCGGAGGCTACACGGCCGGAACTGAGAGCAGAACACACTTACCCTGCTCCCATCTTCTAAGACCTACCGCTCTCTAGGAACACAGGGGACAGCCATGCCCATCCTTGGAGCCCCGTACACAAAGTCAGAGGCTAAGCGGACGTGACCAGAGCGTGTCTGAGGCCTTCGAGCCCCAAAGGAGACAGCAACACAAGCCTGTGTGTGCTAGAGCCGTGGCCAGCGGACGGACGCTGCGGCTGACGCCCAAGCAGAGCCTCGGCTGAAGCTGCTCTGAGCTCCGCGACGCCGCTACATCAGAGAGAGCCGAGGACCGGGGCCCTTCTGACATGGGTCCCCCCAAGTGGGCATACGGCAGCTGGGGACAGTGCCTGTGTCCGGCTTGCCTCGAGTCCTCTGGCACCCCAGGAGCACATGTGGAGCGGAGGCTGCCCTGTCAGGGCCCACAGCAAGGACCACTTCAGTCCGGGGGAGCAATCCCGTCTCTTGACCCACGAACACAGCCAACCCGAGGG